CGTACACCATACAAGAATTGCGACCCTGCAGCGATAATAGCCATTAGCGTCATATTTATCAACTCGCGCGAGTGGAGTCGCGCTTCTCCCCTCGGTTCGCGGATCGCAGAGATTACATAGCGAAAGTTAATTCCTCTAAGCTCATAAGTTTCCGCCTCTAACGAACGAGCGACCTCTTCTTCTCGAAGTCGACTTTCTTGCAGCTCACCCGTAGATGTTAAGACTCTTCTACTTCTTCCACGGGATCTCTCTATCTTTTCACCCGTGGCTCTTTTTCTGTCTCCAACTCGTTAGAATGCGGAATGTGTTGCCCGCGGTCAGGGACTCGCAGTGACTTCTTAATCGGATATACGAACAAAACGGTACGCATCATCGTCAGATCGCTTGCATGAATAATTACGTTATCCATCGTTTGCGATCACACACGATGCCGCGAGCGATTCGACACCGCTGGGTAGGAACGTGCGAAATTATCTTTTCAATGGTAGAATATGTTGATATTTTTTTTATTGTAAGTTACATTTTTAATATCAAACATCACATCTAAAAATGAAAAATATGAGAAGTCTACGCGTATTACATTAGTAAATATATACCTTTTCTCTTTTAAAAATTTGATGTTTCGATGTAAGAGCGACTTATCATTTTTATATGGATGAGTCGGTTAATTGCATCTTTTGTTGTTAATAGTCCAAAATTTGTAAGCTATGTTATGATAATTTTTTAACTAAGTACTATTTAGAAATGTAATATTTTATTAAAAACAGAGAGTTAAGTTGTAGAGAATTAAATTGATAATTTGGTATTATTAGAAATAAAAAAGGAATCTTATATTAGTATTATTATTAGGATTATTACAAAGGATTATTTATAATTTTTTATTCTTTTAACATGCATTGAATTTTAGAGTAAATCAAGAGCATATTGGAATTATTTATGACTAAGTATGTATTATTATATCGATATTATTTTTTACATATTAAATTATATGTGTCATAAAAACGAACATTTTATGTAAATTGAGCAGAAATTGCCGAGGAAACTGCACCGAAAACATTTTTTGAGAAGATGGATCAGATGACATTGGTTAAGTGGGATTCCACAAAGATGTCAAGTATGTAATACGGTAGCACAATTTTAATGCTCGTAAAGGAATGAAAAAGTGAGTGATGTAAAATAAGTGTGCGATAAAGAACCGGATAATCTGGATGCATTTGCGGTTTTATCGGTGTAAACAAGACTGCCGGTAACTAGGCGAGAGACGGCGCATTGAAAGCGGATTCGTGGCATTAAGATTTTACAGACGTGCGCACGCAAAGTGGATATTTGCACCTCATATACACATTCTGCCGCAGCGGTACGCGGGTAATGGAAAACGCACGTTAATCTTCCCTAATTTTCCTCGGCCGTGCTAGACGCGCCCACTAATTTCGCTTTGTCGTTGCGATAACGACGATTAACGACCCAACGAATGCGCATTTCGTTGAGTATTTCAGCGTTAACTCCTTCTTAACATGTTGAGACAGCCATGCAATAATGGTATTTGGATATTTATATAGAATTGTAACTGAAGAGAGAGAGAGAGAGAGAGAGAGAG